AAACTTTATTTGCATATATTTTCTCAATTTGAATAATCTAAAGCAATTTTTCTTTGTCATTACTTCACTGTCTTCAAAGATTTTTCCTGGATAAAGAAGGCACGCTCCCTATATTAGAAATAGATTAGTTTATTTCAAAATAGCCTCCTTTACACTATATAATTTTCTCAAAGTCCAAAAAATATTTTTCGTCAGTGTATAGAGGGTTCTTAATATCGCAACTCCTTCGAGACTGTAAATCGTAGAGACATGAAACCTTCACTAATGGCTTAAGGGTATTTAGACACAACTTTAGAGTTTCAGTGCAAAGGATCGCATGAACCCTTACACGATTTATCACCTCTTTATGTCCATGTGCTTAATATTAAACCTTATAACTTAATAATAAGAGGCATGGGATTTATTGCAATGTGACCCTTGACATTTGACTTTGGATATTTTCTCAAGGTCAAAGGTCAAGGTCATTCCCAAAATTTCTAAATTTTAATATTTTATGCTCTAATCAACTTTTAATTTCTTTTTCATGGTAATTAATTTAAAAGAGGTAAATATCAAACTAAACTGAAATTGAGAGAAGGTGGAAAGACCTCTTATTGTTCTGTGAAGTCTCCTTGTTAGGTCTTTCCACCTTTCAGTGGAAAGACCTCTTGAAAAACTTATGTTTCACACATTTTTTGTTTCCAATATTTTTCTTTGATATTAAATATCTTAACAGTGACTCTTTTGTGAATGCAAAATATGTAATTTGATTTGGAATCAAAAAAGGCAATCTGGAGATTTTCGTATTTAAAAATTTGGAGCGGTGTTTCCAATGGCCGAGTGTTTAGTGCGTCGGATTGTCAGTGGGCACACGGGTTTGCTCCCCCGAATGTCCGAATTTTTTTATCACTCTTTCTGCTAGAATTTTCGTTTTTTACTTCAGAATCGGACGGACGACCCCTCTTTGCTCGCAACGAGATCGTATCTAGTTATTATTCTTTTTTCTTCTTACAAAATTTGTGCAGGCGATTTCTCAGAGTTGGCTTGTTCGATTTTATCCAAATTTTCAGGGTTGTTGCGTTGTTATCTTAAGTTAATTCCAGCAAGTCATTTTTTGAAATTCACTTCCGGTCGGATGTTATCGCCCTTTGATTGAAATTTAGAGGACGGCCTTGTCTGTCATGTAACTCAAAAAAAGGCTAAAGCTAGAAAGCTGAAATTTTCAGGGATGATAGAGGACATGTTCCCATGTTGCACCTGGGTCAGGATATTTTCCGGAAGTGCTTAGAATGGAAGCTCGGTAGGGGATTTTTTGAGACATTTTGCATCACATCCTTTAAAGTATAAGTCATCACATAAGGTGCAGGAAAGGGCAGGAAGTCTTCAATCGATAACTCTTTAACAATAAATATTTTGTTATACATTACTGAATCAAAAATATTTATGTTAAATGTTAAGATAAAATAAAAAAAAGGGCTGGGCACTCAAATAAGGGACTAAAAGTCTTCAATCTCTAGCTCTTTATCAGTCAATATTTTGTAATACATTATTGAAGCAAAGATGTTTATCTCAACTTTTTTTTGGGGGGTGACCTTGACCTTCGACCCCTTGATCCGAGCTTGATCCAAAGGTCACAATCAAGCTAAAGGTCTTGAAGGTATTTACACCTCTCTCTTGAACAAATGCTTAGACCCCCCTCTCCTTTCTAAAAAAAAATAGCCACGTAGACAAATTTTTAGGGCTTAAAGGAGATCACAGATCGACATGAAATTCAGATTAAAATGTAGAAGACACCTCAAAAAAAGTGTAGTAAGAGTTTTACGATGAGTCTCTTAAGTATAATGATATTCTATTCAATATCCGCGAAAACTACATTTTTTTCTGTCTGAAATTTAAGTGCTGATAAGCAAAACAATTAATTAAAGCTTGCTTTGGCTATTTCTTCAGTTTTGGTTACTAGCATTTGATTCCCCTTCTCTTATACAACATTTTAATACCAAATATTCTTGCTTTCTTTAAAATGTTGAATTTTTTGAAGTTAATTTAGATTTAATATAAATGGGATAAATTTCGAAAAAGCGATTTTTCCTATCAAATAAATTTCCAAGCTCTCGGTGACACCGTTTTCTTCATGAAATGCATGTTTCAAGTTTAATTTATGCTCATAATTATTAATTCAATCCAAATAGAGATGATTATTTAATCTAACCTATGAGTTCACCATATATGTCAAAACGAACGCGCCTATATTTTCACAAATTGCAAACACAGCGCCGACACGGAGGTTCGAATGTATCATAAGCTCCGTATGATTACATGTAACTCAATCTATTCAAACTATAAACAAACACAGTGCCGACACGGAGGTTCGAATGTATCATAAGCTCCGTATGATTACATGTAACTCAATCTATTCAAACTATAAACAAACTTAAATGATTTTGTTTACAGGAAATCTCTATTTTCATTTTCCACCAATCGTTTTTTCTTAGAACTATTCATTATTCCTCTGTATGTTCCATCACAAACAAATAAATACACGTGTTTTTGTACTATTTAAAACTGCACGCGTCTCTGTTTTTAGGTAAATCCATGTGCTTTCATTTCTCCTTTTTTTTCCTACACTATTAGTTTACGGAAAAACTTCATCGGAACCTGTGGCGTAGTGCATAGAGCGCTCGCCTGGCAATCTGAGGGTCCACAGTTCGAATCCTAATGGCAGCACTTTTTAATTTTTGTTCTTTTTTTGCTTTTGTTTTTTCAATTCAAATGACACGGAAACACTAAGAAAGGTGGAAATGACCTCTAATTGTTCTCTGAACAATTAGTCTAGAGAACAATTAGTCTACTAGTTAAGATTTTTTAAAATAATTTTTCCGCCGCGGTTTTTTTCTTTCAAGATTTATCGAAAAGGTTTATAATCCATTAGAATGTACTCCATAAAAGATCATTGCAGTTCACCTTGCATAAATGAACCTTGACCCCTTTCCAAGTTATTTCCCAAGAAATGCTTGTTATAGCTACTCTACTATAGTAGAGGTATGAAACATTCCCCAACATTTTCAACTAATTAAGGGGACTCTTCAATCTATTCATTGCGAAAGCATTCGGTTACCCCTTCAATTTTTGAATTTTACAAATAATTAAAAATTTTCAAAACGACAAGCCGTAAAGACAGGGAATTATTTCTAAACAACATTTTTATCTCAATTTTTATACATGTTTGGTATTTTTAATCAGCAGTGATTGAAAATCAAATGTCATATGGTATAAATTTACTGTATCAAAAGAAAAAAAAATAATTTAATTAAAATGATACAATACTGTAATTGGCATATTTCATTTTAAACCTTAAACGGTTGATAAAGTCATATCAATTTGATTAAAAGAGAAATTAAGTCTGAGATTAATTTGATAGTTTAAAAATGTACTTTTTTTTAAACTTGTAGTTACTCGTCTCTTCAATCTTAGATATGACATATGACATAAAGATAAAAATCTCAATTATGAAGATACAAGATACCATTGATATAAATTGATCCTGTACTGCTTATCGAGGGAGCTACATTTTGTAGGAATTTCCATATTACAATACATATCTAAATTGATCATATTTATTTTGTAGATGTTTTTCATTTCATTTATACACCCATTTCAAATAAATTTCTCTTGTCTCTACTTAGTTCAACAATGACTGAGTAATCTTTCATTTCTTTTTTACATATGAGACAATCCCTAACATGATATTGATTGATTTTTGAAAAAAAAAATTAACATGGACACACTTTGAAAAAATTAACCTTTCAAAAGAAAAAATAAAGTCCAAAGTTGTCGAAGCCCGTGCTTTTGTGCTTATATTAACATTTTTCTTCGTTCTTTGATTTATTATTGTCGAAAATACTGGTAAAATTGATGATAGAATTGGAAAAAAAAACGCGCAATTTAAATAGCTTATATTTACATAAAATATGCAAGTGTTTGCGTCAGAATAATGATTTCATTTTGTCTGTGAAATACTTTTGTGCGAAATATTGACATGTTTATATTTAGATTAAAATAATGTTGTATGCATTGTGCCAATATTTAGCTTCCTTCGATTATTGCTTTATTAAGTACAGTTCTCAATGGCTTCACTTAAGTTAATATCGTCTATATATTCTATTTCTTGGGGAGGCTTTATTGGCATGAATGCTTTTCTTTCTCTTTTTCTTTTTTGCACAATTCATTATGTGGCATAGTGAAAGCAATAATGTGCATTTATATTTATCATCTGAGTAAAAAAAAATCTTCTTAATTATTAAATCCAAATACATAAAAATTGTTTCAAAGATAAAAAATAAAAAAAAATACCATATAGTTTAAATCACCAATAAAACATAAAAATACAAGTGTAATTCAATAAAGAAAATACGCATTGAAATTGCTTACATGTGCACGTATAAAGTGGTAGATTATATTTTATTTAACAAAAATAATAAAGAATTAATAAGTATTATTGCCAAGTCTTAATACCAAAATAAAGCTTGCCACTTTGATATTTGCAAACTGTAGTTCAAAATCCTGTTTCAGCAGTTTTGTTTTATCATGCAATTCTTCATCTTTCTTTTTTATGTTCCTTGCAAAGTCAGTCCTTTAATTCTTTTTCTTCTGCCTCAGCAGTAGTTTTGATGAATCTTGCACCTGTTTATCTCCCTTTTCATATGTGCCTGCAATATCAGTCCTTTGATTATTTTTATCTCCCTTTATATGTACCTGCAATCTCACACCTTTGATTCTTCTTCTTCCATTTTAGTTGTTCCTATTGACTGTAAGGATTACCGGGAAAATGGTCACACTTATACAGGTGTGTATGAAATCTACCCCTTTGGGACCATCTTGCCTCCTATCCGAGTTTATTGTGACATGGATACATTCGCTGGAGGGTGGACCGTAAGTAATTTATTTATAAACAATTTATACCTTGTAAACTGGAATCATTGATTATGTTGTCAAGAGGATTGGCAGGAGACTTGATTCATGATGTGAATATAATAAAGATCAAGCATATCATAAAAACATTTATCAAATTATATTGTTTATCTTTCCAAGGCTATTCAGAAAAGAATAGATGGATCCCTGACCTTTGATAAAAAATGGGATGACTATAAAAATGGTTTTGGGGTGACAGAACAGAATCTCTGGATAGGTGAATATAATTAATTGATCCTCTTCTAATTTGAAAAAAAAGACAATTGAACTGAAATTTCAAATTTGACAGCAGAATTTCATTCCTTTTTATCCTAGGTTAAGATTTAATAGAATCAAAATAACAAGAGCTCAATCAAATTTTAAAGCTACTAAAGAATAAGTTGTGTATTCAAAACCGTTTTAATATATCTGGCTTCAGACTAGCTACTTATTGACTTTTCTTTCGGATACATTAATTTACAATATGGAAAAATAATTGTATCATGGAACTTCAGAACACTTATCAATGAATTTCGTATATACATTGATAAGGAAATGACGTCATCCATCAGTTGACAAAGGGAAAGAACTCCTCCCTCTACGTTTCCATCACGTTATCGAATGGCACATTGCTGTACCAGTTGTACAATCAATTTTCTATTTATGATGAAGCAAACCAGTATCAACTGTTTCTTAACGGACCTGCCACGGGAACTTTAGGTAAGTGAAAAGTGGGATACAATGTGTGAAACTTAGCAAACACGTGAATTTGTCAAATATTTAGATTTTTATTTTTTTTATTTGCTGATGTGTAGTCTCAGAGTGATGTAATTGAATTTAATAGGTGTCATGAGGCCGGGGGCTGGGGGGGGATAGCCCCTTTATTTTTAAAGATAGACTTAGTGTAGACATTGAACATTGCTGCGTAGGTTTAGCCCCCCACTTTCCACAGAGACGATGCAGTGTGGGTTTTAAATTGGGAAAGTAGTGCTGTTTGAAAAAAAAATCTTGGTACTGAAGACCGAACCTTTAACATACACCCCCATCCCCTTTGAAACGAGATTTTCGTGTTTAGACAATTTCTTTTTTCCTTTTTTGTGCTGGTTTGTTTTTTTTACATGTAGCCCCCACCCCTACTTTTAATTTGCTTCTGATGCCAATGTATTAAATCCCATTAGCATAATTGTTTATGTGTCTGCTTTAATCAAAAGTTTCCAGTGTAGTTTAAGTCCGTTAGCGATGTACCTGATTTAGCGGAGACTGTTTTCTGCGAAAAAAAAAAACTAAAAAAAGATACACAGCCAAATGTAATACGTTAACAGTATATGAAAACATCGAACAGTATTCAAGCTCAAAATCCATTAAACAATATAAAATGGTAGCAAAGAACAGGAATCGCTAAAAATCAGAGTTGGGGTAAGGTGCCATGTAGGAGTGAGCATCTTCTGACGAAAGGTCTCTTCAGCCGAGTGCTCCTTGTCATGATTTGAAAATAATGGATAAATCCGTCGACAACTCAGAGTTTAAATAATGACCTAACAATTACAATGAAAAACTTCAGTCAGTATTTGACTCAAAAAAGATTATGACCTAACAATTACAATGAGAAACTTCAGTCAGCATTTGACTCAAAAAGTTTTTTTTTGCTGAAAGGTCACTGTGTCGACCATAGAACTTACGAAATGATGACTTTAAACGAGACCATGTTGATATTCTTGTTTCGTAATCTTTTACCAATGATTTACCTTATGATGGAAATTTTTTCATACGTAGAGCTGAGATAAACTTACTATGAACTATGTATACAGGCGGTAAATGTATTTTGCTGCATAAGTAAATGATTGATTGATTGATTGTATATTGTTTTACGCAGATTTGCGAATTTTCTAGCCATATTTCCGCGAATACATGTAAATCAAGTTGACGATTGAAATGTTAAAGTCATCACGTTTATTATAAAGCTTTGTTGTAAGATTACCGTTATGGTCTTTTTCACGTGAAATATGCAAACATGAAACAGAACTGACAGAGTGCGTGGTGTCTTTTATCTCAAACTCATTGAGATATATTGCATCGGCAAAAATAAAATGACCATTCAATTTGTTAATTGACAATACGTCGTCGATATATGTAAATGTCAAGTGAGTAAGTTTAAAAGAAGATAGTCAAGTCAGAATATACAGCCAGAGTTTTTACCAGATCGTGTAAGTAAATAGTTTACTAGAGTTTTATGTTCGTTGCAACCAAAGGGTCAGAGCTAGATTTAAAAAACAAAACATAATTGGCCACAGATATGGTCAGATTTCTAGGATTTTAAATATGTACAACATTTTACATTGAAACCAGTCTGGACTATTAAGGTTACGACATCACTCGAGTTGTTGGAGGTAGCAGGAATACGATCCTCTCTGATCTTCCTATTCTAGTAAGGCTTACTTCGGTTTAGCGAGTGTTTTATTGACCTTTTAACTGGGTGTCTTCCCATTTGGCTAAAATTCTGAAATTGTTATGGGTGACTTGTCTGGCTTGCTTACTGATGTGATCTCACCTTATCGTTGATTAATTGATTGTATATTGTTTAACGTCGCTCTCGAGAATTTTTTAGTCATATGGAGACGCCTCATCTTACCGGTGGAGAGCTGAAAATTTTGTCCTATACTCGGCCCTCAGGGTCATTGAGTAGTGAGGGGATCTTTTTGGTGCCAGCATCTACTGCGACACGGTACCTCGGTTTATACGTTCTCACCCGAAGGAACGGTCTCCACGTTCCATAGTGGGATTCAAACCTGCGTCCTAAGAATCAAAACCTTTCTTTGTGATTTTAGAGCAGACGATGTAAACCACTGCGCCACGCGGGCGACATTTTTTGTTGATGTAACGTGAATTTAGTTTCTTTCCTGAGTCAGTATTTGCCTATTTAGATGTATATACGAAATAAATTTTATTGTTTTCTGAAACTTTTATTTAATGTAAAAGAAAAATAAAGGATTTTTATAGAAATTATCGAACACTCTAAGGTTAAAGTTTCATATATTTTGTATATATTCAAATGTATTGTTTTATACCGTGTTTATTGCCCTTTCCTTTTATATGTATATTCACTTATACCTGATACCTTGTTCCTTTATGCCTTTACAATAGCACAGTTTCATTGTATTTAAAGGCACATCCTTATTTTGTATGTCCTTCATTGTACATGCAGCTTAATTTGGTTATTGTTAGTACTATATATTGAAAACTAGCACGTAATATTTTTTTATTAATCCTTTTATTCAATTTTGCAGGGGACAGAATTTTAAACAACAATCCGTCTGGGTATTCTTTTATCATGTAATACTTAATCCTTGATATTGGTCATTATTATGCTTCCTGTCAGTTTGTCTCTATATAGCCCATACCCTACTATTCTCGCAAAGTGGTCTAAGGATTTATATAGCGTAAGCATACTATGCCGAAATAGAGCACGGCTTTACTTTCTGAAGAAAATTCTACATTGCACACATCGGGAATCGAACTCACGACCGTGAGGTTGGCAGTCCGATGCCTTATCCATTACGCCACAGAGACGATCACTGATTTTGAGAATTTTATTAAATATATAAACTTAGGTAAAAATAGACAAATATTATTTGAAAACAGTTATATTTATTCTAAGGAATCTGAGATAAATGTGTACAACAAAGTTTCAAACTAATTATATACAGATCGTTAGATGAATTGATATCATGGGGTCATTAAAACGCTTTTTTATATAGCGCTTGATTGAAGGATGTAAAAGAAAATAATAAATGAGAATCCACGTCTGTAAACAAATCAGTCTTACTAACAAAACAGAAAATAAAGATGAGTATCTTTGTAACAGGAAATTCTTACTTATTTAGAGAAAATACTAGTAACCAAAATAACTAAG